CCTCAAGTGTCTTAGAATTGAGTGGGCTGTTTAGAATCCCTACCACATCTCCCAGAACGGAGTGAGATTATAACAAACAGCCCTCCACTCCCCCATCCCACACACAATTTTACTTTCTGAAATAGAGATTTGTCTTATTCTTCTCATTAGAGAACCTGCCAGCTGCCAAGCAGGATGTGCCATTGCCATGCATGAAAAGCATTATTGACCCATTTGTCCTTGGTTGACATTGGTACTACTGTTCACAATTGGATGTGGCTTAAATTTGGATCCTTAATCATCACTTAAAAAAAAAAAAATCTTCAGAGAGATAACTCTATGATGCAGGGCTAAAATGACAAGTTATTCTTGTAGAAGTCTACCCGTCATATGTCTGCAATGCAACGGAGGGAAGCAGGAATCGCCAAGTCCCACCGATCACACAATTGTCAGAGCCAAGTGCAGGATCTACTCATGCATGATGAGGGACCATAATTCAGGTGGAGAACAGACAGCTCTAGCAAAGCTTCCAGATGACTTTTATAGAAGGCGTGAAATTTCCAGTGGTATCTTATTCAGTTCAGGAAAATATAAACTACCCACTAACACACATAGGTAAAAATTCCAATATCCTTCCTTATGCTTCAAAATGACCGCAGTTATAAATAGAATTACTTGTAACTTCAGTACCCTCATTTCCTTTAGAATAGTTAACCAGAATTTTTATTTTGTCTTCGTCTTTCTTCCAGAATGAGGTTATTTTTTTCATTGTTTCCTCAGCAAAATGCCTAGAGCAGAGTAGGACAAATAATGTCCTCTCATTGTAGAATCACGAGCAGGGGTTAGGGGAAGTGGCACATTTCTGAGACGCTATATACCTACCCATGGCCCAAACGATTTGGAACTGTCTTTAGTGTCTGGGAGATACTTAGACTCAAAAATCTTATTATGATGCTGAAAAAAATAAGTGCTATGTAGTTGCCTATAGTCTTCCCAATTAATCCATTTTTTATTTTGAAAAATTTGAGTTCCCTTAACAAAAGCTATTATTGAGCTCCAAACAAATAATGTGTTGAGCAATAGCATTTAAAATCTGATGCAAAATTGACCATGTATCCTCTTTCTTGTTTACTTACCTATTTCGGCTTTCTTCCTTGATAATAAGTGACTATTACTGTACAGCCCTGTACTAAACACTTCATATTGCATGTCAGCCACCTGAGCTAAGCATCCATATTTTTCTTTACCATTGAAGAAACTCAGGTTCAGAAAAGTGAGGTAACTCCCTTTCACACCCATAGTAAATACCAAGCTTTTACTCTCACAGGTGTGCTATGCTGCCTCCAAACATACACAAATTCCTTCTAGCACAGATAGGAGTGTTTTCTGTACCCTAAGACATGTATTCTTTGACGCCAGTTCTAAAATAAGGGTGGAATTTATGGTCTGGTTTGGGACCATAACAATTTCCTTCTTCTGGTACTCTTTTAAGAAAGGCACTGTGTTCTGAAGATTTGGATTCCAACTACTCTCTTGTAAGGGCATGGCATGACTGTTGGCCTTGGTCTTAAAATACATTTTACCTCGCACTCCTAGAGCAGAGGCGAGAGCTCTGCATGAACAGCACAAGTGAGCAGGCAGCAGGGCTTGGTCAGCCCCTGGTCATGTGGCCTTCCAAAGGACTGACAACGTAGCACTTCATGAGGGAAACAGAAAGGCATGAGGTCTTTGGAACCTGGGGTTGATGGTTTGCTGCACATAGGCACCTGTTTCATTGGGAATGTTGTCAAGGCGAAGACATACAATTTGCTCAAAAGTAAATTGTAATATGTGTGACATAATCACCTAAGAACTTTTGTTTACAAGCCAACATGGAATCCTACCCATGACATACTTCTCCAGGTGCCCCAAGTTTTCAGACTTCAAATGCCATGTCTGGTTAGGAAGAATTTTCAGAAGGTCTGAGGCATCCTTTGAATCTGCCCGTCTGACGAATAATTCCCATGAATTTATAACTAACACTTGAGTCCCAAGTCTTGTTACAGTCACCTTCCTGCCCCTGCACAGCACAGCCGTAAGGGAGAGCAGCAGGGTGTCTGGGCAGGAGGCACAGCTAAGGAAGAGTCTTTTGAGGAGTAATTACTACTTCCCCAGGGAACTCTGTTCTACACATTGCTTCGACAAGAACACCCAAATTCTACCCTCTTCTCACTTTGCTTATTTAAAAAAAATAAGCAGTTTCTCCCACACATTCAATAGCTCAGTGATAGGTGTTGTGTCTCACCATCTCAGCCTTCTACTCATTGACTCATGCCCTCTCCTGTACCTGGAATGCTGTCTCCCAGGCAACCTTCGGCCACCAACTACTAAAATCCGGACTGCCTTTGAAGGCTCAGATTAAGCCCATTCCTTCACAGAGCTCTTCTTAATCACCTTGCTAGAAGAGTTCTCTCTCCACAGACTCTTACAGCTGATTTATATCAATCACATGGCGCTTGACACAAACCATCCTATGCCGAAGTCATCTCTGTGTGTATTTGATCCCAAACTAGCAAAGGCTACTGCCAGTATTGAAATCATTTCTCACAGATTACTGCTGGCTCAATACACCTGGCTCAGCCCTCTGTACCAAGCACTCTTCTAGTGAACCTGGCAACATGCTTTAAAGGTCTCAAGAACATAAACTCAAGAACATAAATGGGCGAGAGAGGACAGCAAGCGCTGCTCAGAAGAGTCCAGATGAGCTGAGAAAGGGAACAACTGCCGACAACCATATGATTGGATCTCTGCCAACACTACATCATCAGTTTCTGGGTTCCACTCTGCTTGCTCCTACAACTTTCAGTCTGGGGCCCAAGCTGTCTTCGATGACCTTAGATCACAAGCCAGGTACAGACACAACAATGGCAAAATCGGCCTGGGAACTTTCTCCCTCTGGGTGAGTGCCATAAACACACTGGAAAAAAAGAGATGAAGCTCCTAAAAATGTCGAGGATGACAAAAATGAGTTTCAAATCTATATCTGGAATGAGAACTAGTGGCTGGTGGTACAATGCTATGAGAGCAGAGAGCAAACAAAGGCACAAACACTAGTTTGTTCCTACCTTCTCCATCAGGGACAATATTTTCCAAATTAAAAGCATAAAGAACAATCGGGTTAGTATTTGAAATCTAAGACTGATGAAGGGATAGCAGGAGACACCTGTTTAAAATGAGTTCAGACAAAATATATCCAGGTACTGTAACAATCTGTGGGTGTGAATGTGGCACTGCTGTCAGAACTCTGGAGAAATGATGAATAATAGAAGACTAGAGACTGAAAACGCTGCCCTATTTCCCAAAGAACAAATAAATCAGATTCTAGAAACTCCAGAATGGTGAGTTGAATGTGAAACTCTGGTAAAATCTAGAATAATAGAGATGGTGAACATTTTGACACCTAACGATTGCTAGTTGCTATTCAATTTTTGATTCAACAAAGTGTCATACCAAACTAACTTCCTTCCCTCTCCTGAAAGGATTATTAGAACAATCAACCAAGGAAGTAACAGAAAAACAATAGCTGATAATTCAGAGATCAGTGAGGTGGACTGAGTAGAACACAATCTTGTAACAGCTGACACTTTGTTTACTTTGTGCTAGATGTGGTTCCCAGGGCTTTTTATATAATCCATTTAACTCTCATAAAAACCCTATAATGTCTGTATTAATGTTCTTCTCACTGCCATTTGCCTGAAGGCCATACAGGTAGGGTTCCAATCAGGCAAGAATGGCAAGGCTGATAACAAGAGGGGAAACGGAAATCCTTCCTTTTCCACACAGGTGAGCAAACTTATTCTCTCACTTCCACACAGGAAAGGGAAAAGTGTGAGAACTCTTCTTACCCACTCGCTTTTCTGAGGAAGGGACAGTGACATTCTGATTGCCAGGACTGGGAGATGCCGCTGAGCATACTTTCTTGGCATGGTAAGGTCACTGGGCAAAATCTGACACTGCAAAGGGAGTTTGTAGGTTTAAGTGGGTAAATTCCATGGCTGATATTCAATATTTTAACAACCAGTTTACTACCACTAGACCAACAATCATAACAGAGGCAGGTCATAAACCATTGTCGTGGCTAGCATCAGCCCAGGTAAAGTTTATGTCAGTAGGATTATTAGCCTGGGTATTGAGAGCCTCGTTGTGATTTTAGCTTCACCAAAACAGTCTTCTTAGTAAGAGACAAGCTATTTTGATTTCCATTAGTCTGACTTCTATGTCTTATTTTTTCAGTTCGTTCGAGGGCTTAGAGGGGAAAGACAAGGATATGATTAATGGTCACCACCAAACTCCCAACAGTCCTTTGTACTTTTCAGATAATAATGCCGTTTCAGGTGACATTTTAAAGGTGATACTGACAACTAAAAGGCATTCAAAAGTCAGGATCAAGCCTACACTGTGGACTGTGTGGTATGAATTAGATGGAAAGAGGACGGGCCATTCATGTCAACCTCCTATTTAGACACAGATGGACCTGATAGTCCACCACAGGGTAGGTGAGGAGGGGCCAGGATCTGTGACATGAAATGATCTTTGGCAAAGAAAGTGAAAGAGCTTTGGGACCAAGGTAGCACCCCCATTACTCTAAGAGTAAGGGTTCAGCAAACTATGTGCACTACATGGCTCTTAACAAGAAATGTGCGAACCTCTGGACTAGAGTTAGGAAAGTAACTCTATAGCCTGGGGTGTGGGGAGAGGGAGGGAAGGAGAGAAGGAAGAGAGGGAGGGAAGCAAGAAGGAACAAGTATGCTTAGAGCTGAGACCTTTACTGGGGGAATTGGGAAAAGGCAGAGAGGAAAGAATGAGGGCAGAACTCTCACCGTATCTTACTACGTGGGGATCCCTTTGCATGTGAGCTGAGCAATACTATAACCTTTCAAGCTGAATTATTTGTATCTATTTGGGTGAGTTCCTAGAAGGTGAAGAAAGTGGATTTTCCCGTCTTTCATAATTGGGAGCACAAAAACAATGTAAAAGGCAAAGACAGGTAATCAAAAATGTTTTAATGATTAACGTTTGGACATTATTTAACAGTATGGGTATATCCAGATGAGCTAAAGCACATTTTGACAGCACACTATTGAATGTTATAGTTTGTTTTGAAATATGTAAAGACTTTCACAATCTAGTACCTAGGAAGACATACATTTACAAATATACACATTCTAGATTTGATAAGGTAAATGTAAACAGATGCTGTGACTCCTTCTAAACAGAAAACCCATGAGGCTAGTAAGAGAACCAACTGGCTCCCTATAATATGAATGTGCAAAATTAAAGCATGATAAACTGATATTTACATAAATATCAAACCAACAATTAGTCTATACATTGTCAATGACCTTCTAAGATGTGTCATGAGTGGTTCAATGAATAATTTTTTCCCCAGTGGAGAAGGTATTCAGAGACTAAATTCCGACACTTTAAAATGACACACACAATATAGTCTCTTGATCTGTTTGACCACTGCCTCAAGGATGTGAGACATGATTTTATGATGAGTAGTCTATTATTTTTAAACAAGCGGTTCTAAACAAATCTTTAGATTCTAAGCAGAAAAAATTGCAGATGCTATTACATTTACATTTAAAAAAAAAACAAAACAATCCAATTTCCCAGTTCTCTTATGCTGTAGCTATCTGTTTAATTTTACCTTAAATTTTTTAAAGGAAGGTCCTCTTTTCCCCCTTTATTAATTTTGGTAAACTAGGCACATTTTAAAAGGAAGTTTGTGTCAAAACAGATAGCAGTACAGAAATCAATCCATATTTGGACCCTGGCAACCAGTTCCCTATTGCTCATCTATAGGACTCTATCAAATGGTAAATAATCAATCATTTCTCTTGAAAAGTATATCTCCTCTTTCTCAAGAGTGGAAAGAAACATGAGCTTTGTTTCCTGTATAAAAACATTTAGCACTTCAGAAATTAAAAACGGCCTACTCATCCTACACACTTCCTAAAATCTTGAAGATAAAGAATATATATTTAAGTTTCACCAAGACTGCTTTAGAGCCGCCTCCCACCCCCCGCTTTTTACATTATTAATAGTGGCACTCAAAATAAAAAAATAAGATCTGTTAAAAAGTTAAACTGCCTGTTTGTTCCACTAGGTTTGAGCCTGCCTGATTTAAAGCCAATATTATAAAACTGAAGGTGCCGTTTCTGATTTCACATGTACAAGTCACTTGAAATTGTGTCACACACTAGTTTCATAAATCACGGTCTTTGATTCTTCTAAACAGAGCTATTAAAAATGAATAAAAACTTGAAACATACCCTAATTTAAACTAATAAGCTTTGGGCCCTGCTTTTTAAATCTTAAGGCATGTGTGTTTCTCTACTGTAACAACATTATACAAATTTACAATCACATGCATGATCTACAGTAAAAAAAAAAGTTTGGATAACAGTGTTTTTAAATTGTGAATCACAATTCAGCACCTATCATGTTATAACTAATAAGGCAACAGCAGTGTCGTATACTATAATAACGTCCCCTACGCAATCTGAGCGCGGGGGTCGGTGAGAGCCCAGAAATGTTAAAAATCTTACGCCTACTTGTCTAATCTGTATACATTTTCTAGGGGTTCTGAACTGATGAAAGAGGTCCTACACGAATCACACTATTGTAGGCCGCACTAGTTACAGCAGCTGTTAACGAGCATCGGGCACAACTCATACTGTGCTTACAATCAGACGACGTGGTTTGGAGGTTTGCAACTCTCCGACCTCAATCCTTCCGTTGCTTCCTCGGCTTCACATTGTTTTCCAGGGAAGCAAAGCTGTTGGTGTGTCCGTTCACAGCAGCCACGGACCCGTTCTGGTGGTCCCTCAAGTGCTCTTTCCTCTGGGAGGCCCCCTTCTTGTTGTAAGTCTGAAATGTACAAGGGCAGGTGGGAACATACGACTCGGGAGCTCTTTGGGGAAACTGCATCCCTAACACTAGGCCTAGCTTCCTTTTAGGACCAAATGCTATCAAGAAGGAACGAGTTGAGCAATATGAAAATGTTTTTTTTTTTTTTTTTGCCACAGGTTTCAATTACTCTTCTATTTTTTGAGGCTTAGCATAGGGTAAGTTCACTGAATCATAGGCTACAACACAAATACTATTTTCAAAATTAAGTAGGAAACTGAATTTATACTTCGTTATTTTGCCCTTTCAGTATCTAGAAAGCAGGGGATAGGAGTTGTGTGGCCCAACTGGTTTCTCCCACTCTGCAGTACCTCTCCTGCCACTCATCTTCCTTGTCTACAAGATTTGCTCATTACTTCAGCAACTATTTTGGCCTTATGTACAAAGTGCCATGCTACTGAAAGCAGTTTAAGCATTATGTCAGCTCTGTCAGGTCCTTCCTTTAACCCCCCCCCTTGTAGACGGTGAATAACCCAAAGTGTAGCACAAACTATTAGCAGTATATGAACTCAACTCAAATATGCCATGCCCAGGTATGTGTGAATAAAAGTACAGGTGGGCACAAAGAAGAGGGAATGTGGCTGAGGCCCCAGGTAGCTGCTAAACACTACCACCCTTTACTGCCTCTGTATCCGTGGCCTCTGTCCTTGCTCCTGACCTCCTGTGCCTGCCCTGGAACCAGGCACTGCCCACTGGAGGAGGAACACACGTCATCCAGGGGAGATGGGAGGCAGGGGAATCAGCAGTGGCCACAAAATGGTCAGGTTCCACCGGAGATAATCTGCCCTAAATGGACCCTTCCGTGAGCAAAAACCTGCATTATATCGTGCACTTGGAAATAAACTGAGCCTACAAACTTGAGAAGTGGATGTGTAAGGAAACTGGAACAAAAGGGCAGATTTCTATCCATAGCTGATAGATTGTGATGGAAATTTCTTCAGACATTTAATTTAGCCATGAAGTTCAGGCTGTGAGACTTGACTGAAAATCACCTATCACGTGTCTCCCACAGGCCACAAGGGAAGCAACGTAGGAGCCTACTCGACAGTTTTGCTCTTCTACACAAATCCCAAGCCTCCTTGGTCAAAGATCTAGAACTCAGGAGATCTGGAACAGATTTAGCATCTTTTACGCTGGCAGTGACCCAGCCCTCCAGAAGTCAGGGGCATCACTACACTGTGACTACATTAGAGCCCGGTGCCTGGCACAAAGCGGGGGCTCCACGAGTCCCCTTAAAGGGACAGATGAGGGCCTTTGCTGATAAAGCCTCAAATCCCAACTGTCATAGAAGAGTGAGACTTACCTGAACGTAGAAATTTGTGAAAAGAATGATCAGAGAAATCATGTATCCAATCTGGAAATATAACCAACCAAGAGGGAATGCACACGGCCAGATGACCCCACAGGTGGTCTGGATGATTGTCAGCACAAACTGAAGCTGGTGGGGGAGAGGGAACACAGCTGAGCAGTGCGGCAACAGCTCACGGACAAGATGCCATGCCCAAAGGGCTTCTACCTGGCATCCCTGAAGTTCGTGGATTAACACTATTAACCTTTCTGTAGGTACCACGAACACAATGCATACACTAAATTTATCCCAAATTATATATTTGTCTATATTTGTCTTACATGTTCTCTCCTCCTCCCCTCTAAGCTGCTTAAGTCACCTTCCCTGAAATTCAGGAAATAGTTAATATTATCTTGTATGTTTGAAGGTTTCTAAGAGAGTAGATCTTAAAGTTCTCGATGCACATACAAAAACTAACTATGTGGTGATGGATGTGTTAACTAAACTTTCATAATAATGTCACAATATATACGTATTATCAAATTACGCTGTACACCTTAAACTTATACAATTGTTATATGTCGATTATGTCTCAATGAAGCTGGAGGCAAGAAAGCAAAAAACACACACACAAACTTCAGGAACACAGTACAGAGAGATGCCAGTTTTTTTTTAAAGGGAGGAAGAAAACATATGAGGTATATGTAAGGGAACCAGTGATGTCACTGCAGAATGTACAGTCCCACAGGACACTTTTCCTATTCCTTATCCCTGTACACTTTTGGTTTGGTGAAGGCTGATAAGTACATTTAAACTCTCATCAGGTTATAATGCTAAGCCCATAGAATATTTCTGATGAGTAAATCTCGAAAAGCTCGTGGAAGTGCTTAGAGAAACAAGAAAAAGGTGTTAAAATAAGGTGTGGCTACTGGAGGGTACATCTTCAAGAGGAAACTATCAGCAGAAGGCTGGGTTCTGCCCACTGGAGTTTTGGCCCAGCTACCACTGTTTCTATATAAAGAATTGTTTTTTTCTTTTTTTCTTCTTCTCTTTTTTAAGGTGAGTACTCGAGGTTGATAAACAACTAGAAGTGGTCCTTAAGATAAATCAAGGCAAACTGGGTGCAATCTTCCTCCTCAAAGAGCAGAGCCTAATGGAAGATTAACTTTCCCATTCTGTTCTCCACAGGGCCATGGCTGTGTGGTATAAATCAATCTCATCACTTCTCTCAAGTGTAATGAGAAGGTTAAAGAACAATTATCTTTCCTCACAGGCAGGTGACAAAAAAATTACCAAGGAATGTATAGCAACTGGCAAAAAGGTGATAATGAAATGTCAAACACATAAGTAGCTCAGATCTTCTCAGGTCCCCCCCCACCCAACTGTTATTTTTAAATATCGAAAAATCACAATTGACTTGGGGGGTGGGTATCTAAATCAGTTTGGTTGCCTTAGAAAAATATGTTAATTAGGCAAGGCTAGGGCTAAGAGTTTAATGTCTAAGCCCCACAGTCAGCTAGCTTTGGCCTACTGCCTCAGCATCCTCAGCTACAAAATGGGGATAATAACATGGAATCAGGATATTAGAACAATTCATTTAAAACTGCTTACTTAGCATGAGTACCTGACACTAGTAAACTCAACAAACATCAGTGTTTACATTAACAGTAACAGTGTTAATGATCAGTTCATGGAAGAATTCATGAGCCGGGGGAATAGGGATCTATAACATACTGACAATTGGAGAAAGCCTAAGGAAAGGATGGTGTGAAATAACTACCAAGTACAAACAGTTGCTGGGTGGCCTTGGCATGGTAAACCTCAGGAAGGGGATTGTCATCTGAAGCACAGACAAGTGTTATTCTTGCCTGTAGATGCTCCATTACACAAGGGCTGAGAGGTCACCCAGTACCTGCCTTAGCAAATATCCTCACTGCCTAATAAGCTACAAGCGCCCTGGACACATGCCACTCCGCAGCATCTTCTGAAACTCCTGGGCACACAGATAAACCATTTTCACTTTGGATTTTCTATTATAATTAGAAAACACATATATAGACACACATACGCACACATATGCACACGTGCTCTGTGCACAAACTAAGAACAAAGGACTGAACCTGAAGTCAGGAAATTAGATTCCAGGGCTCGTTCTGCAACTCAACCAGCTGTACACCCATGGGCACAGTTTCTACATCAATTAAAATTAAGAAAATTCTCTGCTCTGCCTACTTCATGAAGTTTTAATGGGATCAAATGAGGAAAGTGGGAAGGCACATCTTAGATGCTATTAAATAGCAATAAAGCCGGGAAGGCGGCATAAGCACCCCAGGGAAGAGCTCTGTGTACCCCTGGTAGCGCCTGCTGGGGAAAGAGGCCGAGTCACTCACCAGCTGCCCCTGCGTGATGTATTTCTTCCACCAGAGGTACGGACGCATGGAAGGGACTGAAGACAGACCATAGTACGAGTACATGAGGACATGGATGAAGCTGTTAAGTGTGGCACCAAAATAAGCTGCCGGAACAGAGGAGGTATGGAGAGAAGGATGCGTCAGTGTTTTATACATAACAGATAAAAAAACAAAATCCAAGATTCTTTTTAGAGCTGAAAAAACATATTTTTGCACAGAGGCTAGAAAACACTGCAGCAGCAGCGCTGCATGGATATGAAATCAGTATTCAGTTTCCACTCGGGCAGGTGGCCATCGGGATGCTTTAAACCCAGGGTCAACTGTAGCTGCCAGGTGGACATCTAACACAGGAGCCATGAGACCACCTGCTCCACTCTGGCACCTAAAGGCTTTGCCGCCAGATCCCCACCCACTCCCAGAGGCAGTTGCTTTGCTTGACAAGCCCAAGTGCCTCAGATTGCTACGGTGAAAGCTTGGGGAAGACAGCCGATGGGCACTATGTTCGAAGATGGCTGTCTCTACACATTGGCTGAGGTTTAGAGAGGCCTCTGAAGTCAACTCCTAATTACTCCCTAGGGCTGCAGTACTGAGGCCATATATCTATTTTTTTGATAATACGGTTGAAAGTTCAGTTCCTTAGAGATAAAAGACCCATCTTTCATCACATAATTTTTAATTTCCAATAGGACCACCAGTTCTTTTTTTAGACTCTCTATCCTCCTTTCCCACAGTAGGCAAACCAAACAAAGCTATCTGGCTTTTCCACATGCAGAGGTGAACAAGGCTGGGGTCGGAAAATAAGTTTGTGCTTTTGGCTATGATAGTAACTGGCTGTGAGACCTTGGACAAGTCATGTCCATTCTCTGGTTGTTTCTCATGGGTTAAGTAGTACTAGTTAAAATCTGTCATCTTGCAAGTTCTTTGAAAATTTAAAGCCTTCTTCAAATGTGAGGAGATGCTGTTTTTATTAGAAAGTTAAGTCACTTAATCTGCAGCCATGAAGTTCATGAAGGTGAGAAAAAATTCTATATGTGAATCTTGATGGGCCACATTAATCAAAGGCAAAAACATGTGAACAGCCTCAGAAGTTCTCGGTCAGATATGTCAGTGATGGATGACAGGGATTTTAATTAGGACATCTGTTAGAACTCTCAGGATGAACCTGAAGGTGACAACTTAATCTCTGAAAATTAAGAGGCTTCAGATGACAATCTTTCCCAAACCACCCACACACCCTTCTTGATTTTCTTCAAATTTTGGTGCTTGTCACGGAAGACATACTGCTAAACACGTTTCAGGGAACATGAGGGTCATTAAATTAGAATGCAGACTTCCTAACACACTACTTAGCTAAAGCTGTATTTCATTAATTAGCCTTGTTCTCTGGCATTCATTCAGTGGTGTGACTTCACTTTCCCGGCCTGCCCGTCAAACATCTTCCAAATTGTAGAGAAACAAGAATTAGAAATAACCTGGTACAGCTACCCTCTGTGACAGAAGACATTGTCCCTATTTCTTAATATGCCCCAGGCTAGGAATCAGTTATTTCCCTCATTTTGCCAAATCAGCACAGGGCATTTACCAAAATAGAAAAATGTTTCATCAGCTTATTGAGTGCCTATGCCACATAAACTATCATTAAAAGCATCCCAGACACAAAGTTCAATTGCTTGACCTAGATAGAAATCTACAGAAATGGCACCTTTTCTAAAAGCCTTAGTTTCAGTTTGGCCTCTTTGCTCATACCTGTCCCCAAATCCCCCCACTACATGAGACTTACAATGGCCGCAGGGGACCCAGTTCATCACAAACCACCAGATGTTCAGCATGGAGGCATGGTGGTAGACGTGGAGCACTGTGATCTGGTGGTAGTTCTTACGCAGGATGAAGAAGAAGGTGTCCATGAATTCTATGAGTTTGGAGAAGTAGTACCACCAAAGGACACGGATAATCTACGAGGAAGGGGGCATCAATGTTTCTCTGCAGTATTGCCTCTGATATGTTTGCTAACATCCCAGGAGCCCAGGTAGCCTTGGAGAGGCCTGAGTGCCCCACCGGCTCCCAAGGTCCATCAGCAGTCAGGTGCACTGGTCACTCCGAGATTGGCTTTAGCCAAAGAGCTTAACAGGGGGAGGGGGGGCGGTTGAAATGACATCAAGGAAGGTTTTCAAAGGGCCGCTGACACCCTTCAAGACTAACAAAGCAGGAGGCTCAAAGTTCAAATCCCTGAAGTCTGCTTGTTTCCTTGGAAGGAACCTGAAGAGCCATCAGTACAGAAAAGCCACCTGAAAGGCACTTCTGATTTCAGGTGCTGGCGTGGGGGCAGGTGACAGGACACGAGGCAAAGAAGAAAAGGAATCAGAACTTTCAGTGTCAGGTCCCTGCCCAACTGAATATGTCATCCAGGTGTTCTTAGGAAATGACGGCCCATGTTGAGTTTACGCCAGCAGACTTTCATGTAAAATTCAAAAGACTCAAGAATGGAAGTCAGAATCTAAAGACCAGCACCGGGAGGGTACCTTGGAGAAACAAGTATAGCATTTAAGACATTATTCTTGATTCCGTTTATATAAATACAGCATAAATACTGATAACACATGCAATTTTCCCCCTTGGAAACTGTTAATAGGATTTTTGCAGACAAGAAAACTTTAATTTTCATTTTATACCTTTCATGTTCAAATTTCCATACTGTGTACATAACTTTTTCAAGTTCTTTTAAAAATGTCAACAGGGATTACCAGGACAGTGAAGTTATAAGTCATTTTGTCTTCTGTATATGATTTATTAAAAAAAGACTACTTAAAATAATAAAAGAGACAATACCTTCATGTCTGCTTCTCCTGCGCTGCGTGTGCCCTGACAGAAGAAGTTGTATTCGCCTTCCCATACTCCTGTCACTAACTAAAAAAAAGAAAAAGAAAAGAGAAGAAGAAGCTAATCACCAATAACATCAGAACCATGTAAAGATCTATTCAATTAAACTTCATTATTTTCAGAATCTATAAAAGTTGACCTCAGGCTGGCTGAGGCAAGTTTGCTCTGAGCGAAAAACATAATGATAGGAGAGTATGAACAAAGTTTAGGTTTAAATGATTTAAGTCTCAATGTCTCAAGCGGTGGACCCGGGAGTCACGCTAGGCTGCAGCCTTCACAGATGCTTCTTTATCGAGCTGATTTCCTCCAGATTCCTCAATTCATGAGGCTGTCACAAATGCCCTGCCAATTCCAAGGCCCTACCAATCTAATCACAGGCTCCCAGTCCTGTCCCAAGTGGCCTCAGGGAAGATCACCATGTCACAATCAGGCTTTCCCTCAGTCACTGCTTCTCGAACTGTATAGCACCAGAATCCCCTCAAGGGCATGTTAAAACATGCATCGTGGGTGGGCATTTCTGATCCAGTAGCAGGCCACTTGTGATGGGGTCCCCCAGTGATATTGATGCTGCTAGACTAAAGACCACACTTCGAGAACCACTGCTGTAAGCCTAGGGATAATTTAGCCCAGCCCCATCATCTTCATTATTTCCTGTTGCTGTGTCATCCCCTGGACCCAAGAATAGACCTCTGCAGCCTGAGGAAATTGTGCCCATTTCTCAGAATTCACCTGCAGCAGAGTAGGCACTGTGGTGTCACAGAAAGGACTCCAGAATTGGGGTGCAAGCTCTAGGTTATAGACCTGCAGTATCACTGGTTCACTGTGGAGGCCTCAGTTTGCTAGTCTGCACACAACGAGGATACCTGGCCTAGATGAGACCCAAAGACCCACTCTAACAGTCCAGAGGGAAGCTTTCATTTGACCACCCTGTGTGTGTCCACTGTCTGTGTTCTAGACAAACACCTATGAGATGCTATTCTTTGTCTGAGTAAATTAGCCTAGGGTGACGCAGAGTTTTCCTTGTGACTTTCCCTCTGGTGGCCAATCAGTACCAGATGGGGAGAAATCTGAGGTGGCCTGCCTTGTGTCTGATCTCATCATTGCATCTAACACAAGGGACTGGCCCCGGGTCTCAAAGTGCATTGCCCAGTCCACCTGCATTAGCATCACATGGGAACTCATAAGACCTGCAAGTTCCTAGACCCACCCCAGACCTTCAGAATCAAAATTATGAAGGTACCCTCTGTGGCTGGAGGGTACAAAAAGGGGTGGACTATCAAGGCCGGGTCTCCGAGTGCTGGATCACGGACACTTTGAGAATTTAATAACGTGGCATCAGTATCACCCAGGAATTTGTCAGAAATGCAAAATCTCAAGCCCTACGTAACAGACACCTACTGACTCGGAAACTTCTGGGTGTTAAGCCCAGGGGTGTGATAGGTTGTTTTCCTGGTGATTAATGCAGCTGAAGTGTGAGAACTACTGGTCGAAATCGGTAGCTCCCATTCTAGCTGCTTAACATGATTACTTGTGAGCTTTTAAAAATTGCTAATGCCTGGCCTCCCCCCAGACCACGAACCAGCATTTTGAGGGGCCTTTTACCAAGCTCTCGAGGTAATTCCAATGTGCGACTAGGAGTGGGAACCACTGGTTTCATGCTAGTTAACTTCAAATAAGAAATGGTTCGCCTACTGGTGCCTTGAGAAAGATATAACTGAGAATCCGGGCTCCAGAGCCTCCCTTTCCTGCCTCCCCATCCCCCATCCCCCTGCCGCGAACACAGTTTAGCTGGCTGAGCAACCCAGACTCCTTCAGGGGAGAGCAAAGGACTACATGGGTCTGAAGACAAAATTGTTAAACCTCTACCCAGTCTGACCTCAGAAATAAATGCAGACAGTGGGTGTAGCCACTGTACTTACACTAAACACCCTAGAACCTGACAGTTCTTCTATGAACTTCCTTTTTGTTGTTTTCCTTCTGCTTTGTCATCATCTATACATAAAAAAGCATTAAGAGTTAACATGGCCAAAGGCCGGCACAAGGATTTAAAATACACATGAGGGGAGGCATCATTTAATCATGAAAAGCACCCTGGATTAGGAAGCAGGGCTGGTCAGGCAACCGTCTCCATCTAGGCCCAGCGCTGAGGCAAGCTGCTAATTCCCTTAGGCTTTGGTTGTTTTTCCTGTAAAAAGATGAGGTTGGACTAAATATCTCTAAAGGTTCTGTCCTAATTTTTGACAATGTCTTCTTGAAAACAGGCCGCGCACAAACTATACTATCTGCTCTTTGAAAGGCCAGCACCCATTAGAAGGTATGTTATCTTTTAAGTCAAATATCACTCTCTAAAGTCGTGGCCAGTTAAGTAGACCACATGCAGACCTGTTAGAAGTTCCAAGAATCAAGACAAAAAGCCCGAGTCCAAAGTGTCGTTGGAGGTGGGTGGGGTGCTGGTGTGCATGTCCTCAGGTGACCTGAGGTGGAGAGAAGGAAGTGCTGCATTGGCACAATGTTCGCTGCTCTTCCTCTACTCTAAGAGGGAATGGATGAATTATCTTCTGTGGCTGGAGGGTACAAAAAGGGAACTGATGGTTCTTGATGAAATTTTCAGAGAACTACCGCAAATGAGAATAAGAACGACACAGTAAAGTTTTCATAAAGATAAATTTGTACAATTTAAAATACACTTTTATTTAAGACAATAGCTGTATGTGGCAAAATTCAAAATTTACTAACATGATTGTTCTTATGTTTTTTGAAATTTTATCATCTTATTAATCTAAAATTCTACGACCTACCATCACTGTTTTCCAGCTGCTATTTTGGTTTATGGTGTCCCAAGACACCCTGAATTAGTTTTCTTTTGCCAGTTTTAGCATAGGACGGCTGGTATATGTGTGTGTGCAGAGGTATGGATGACTGCGTTCATGAATGTCTACCTTGGCAGGGGTGGGGGAAAGCAAAGGACTTCTCTGGGGAAGAAGATGAGAATTCTTCCCTGTAATCCCACAGATGCCCCAACCTCAAGGGTGGGCGCAGACTAAGGGGTCTGTTAACCCTAAGAGAAGGTACTCTCCGATGCATGCCTCCTTTATTTAAAAAAGTCTTTCAGAAGGAATTCAGGTGGGATTGCCTCAACTCTTCAAGCTTAATTAACCTAAAATTCCATTTGCCTTTCCCCACATTAAAAAAAAAAAAAAGCTAAAACCTGTCTTAAAATACCTGTGTTTGGTGGCTAAAGAACTCAGACCTAGGTCTTGGGCAGTGAGCTTGCTCAATACGAAAGCATAAAGCAGGTACATAAACTGGAAGCTGCTCATTCAGGGTCACCTCACTGCCCTGAGTCCACCATGTGTCTCTCTCTACCTTGTATAAGGGGGTCCTGCATGAGCCCCACCAGGCTTCACTACAACTCTCACTTTATCAATCGCTGCTGCCACTCAGCACTTCTTGGGCCCCTGTGCCTCTCAAACTATAGAATTTTGTGTTTAAAACCCTTCAGGGACTCATCCTTGACTTCAGAATGAAACGCTAAATCCTAGGCACAGTATTCAGGTACATACATTCCTCTATAATGTTCCTTTAAACTGATCTTTCACGCCTCCCTTAACAGCAGTCAGACAGGACCCACTTCTGTTCTTCAAGCATGCCTTTCTGTAACCACTACACAGGGACCACGGGGCAGAGCAAGGTTTGGGTGCTGGCCAGAACAAAGCTAAATCCTAGCTTTCCCACATTTAACTAGGTGATCTTGAGTAAGGTATTTCAATCTCTTTAGGTGGCAGTTTCCTCACTCTCTAAATAGGATAAAAACAATACTCCTGCCTCTTAAGGCTGAGAAGTTAATGAGCTGAAGTGTGTATTGCCTATCTTATCCAACCTGGTGCACAGGATAAGCACGTAAATGTTAGCAATGACCATTCCGGTTTTCCTTTAGCTGGAATGCTCTCTGCAACCACGTACCTCCACCTCCAGCTCTTAAAATCCTATCTATCCTTCAAAGTTCAAATTCAATATCTTGATGACTGCTCCCTTGAGCACTCCGGTCTGAAGTCTGTTCTCCTTTCTCCAAGCTCACCCTGCCATGACTCGTACTTACTTCCTCAAGTGCTCTGTTTAAAGCCCTTTGTTAAGCTCTAGGAAGTGGTGACTGTCGTTCCCTCATCCACAGAATCCAGCACGGGCACCTGTACACAAGAGGTGCTGAATAAATATTTGCTAAACTAATGACAAAGAGCTCAAGGTGCTGCCTTTGTTCCTCAAATCTAGGCCTAATGTTTTATTTGCAGAAAAAAAAGAGCTTTATTTATGTTTTGCAAATGGAGCAATTGAAACACAAGAAAGCCTTTTAATGAGGCTTGAATATGACAATATTCCTCTGAATTTTGTTCACTAGATGCAAACCGGTCTTCACCAAATGTCATATTGATGACATAGCAAGTTCAACTCTTAAATATTCTTGGCTTCAGAAGGGATAGAATAATTTAATATACAAGGACCAAGCACCTGAGTTAAGGTTTATTCATCTAAGACTCCCAACAATCTTCCATGAAATGGGCCAGCATCAGGATCCTGTTTCCCCCATTCCCCTGTCAGAAGAGTACAGCCTCTGAGTAACAGATCCCAGAGGCTTTCAACGCGGAGGCTGGCCTTCCCTCCAGCCCCACGAGTACTTCAGGAGAGGGGATAATGCTCTAGCCAAAGACACCTCAGCCACTGTTTCCCTTCAGGG